CGTTGGCCTTCTTGGCCACCTGAGCACACTGCTGGCTCATATTCAGCCGACTGTCCACCATCACTCCCAGGTCCTTCTCTGCCTGGCAGCTCTCCAACCATTCCTCTCCCAGCCTGTAGTTCTGCTTGGGGTTATTGCGCCCCAGGTGCAGGACCCGGCACTTGGCCTTGTTGAACTTCATACAGTTGACCTCAGCCCATCGGTGCAGCCTATCCAGATCCTCCTGCAGAGCCTTCCTACCCTCGAGCAGATCGACACACGCACCTAGCTTGGTGTCATCTGCAAACTTACTGAGGGTGCACTCAATGCCATCATCCAGATCATTGATGAAGATGTTAAAGAGGACCGGCCCCAGCACCGAGCCCTGGGGGACGCCACTAGTGACTGGCCTCCAACTGGACTTGGCTCCATTCACCACAACTCTTTGGGCCCGGCTATCCAGCCAGTTTCTAACCCAACGAAGCGTGCGCCAGTCCAAGCCAAGAGCAGCCAGTTTCTTGAGGAGAATGCTGTGGGAGACGGTGTCAAAAGCCTTGCTGAAGTCAAGGTAGACCACATCCACAGCCTTTCCCTCATCCACCCAGCGCGTCACTTTGTCATAGAAGGAGATCAGGTTCGTCAAGCAGGACCTGCCTTCCATAAACCCATGCTGGCTGGGCCTGATCGCCTGCTTGCCCTTCAAGTGCCGCATGATGACTCCCAAGAGGATCTGCTCCATGAGCTTCCCTGGTACTGAGGTCAAACTGACCGGCCTGTAGTTCCCCGGGTAAATTATTTGCAGACTTATCTGAAAGGCTAAAATGCTCAAAAGCGAAAAAAGTTAGAAAGCACAGGCTACAATAATTTGCATTTAAATGTCTGATCCAGGGTAGATCTGTTCCCCACAGCAACTTTTTTCAGATGTATTCTGTTGCTATGAAACAGGAGAACTCATCTTTACCATACGTAATGACACAGCATGGGAACCTGCACCCATTAGCAGGAGCTGCATGACTTTGTAATGATATGGAAAGCTGTCAAAAGCCAATGGTGAAAAATTACAATGGTTATGAGAAATCTGGAATTGTAGACTGACAAGCACTACATAAGAAACATGGGAAGTGGAGTCAAGTGATCAGTGGTGTTTATTTTTGTGGATAAAATACCTAAGGAAAATTATTTCCACACTTCCAAGAGGTTAAAAGCAATGAAATGAAAATAGAAAGCTTTTTACTTTTTTTTTTTTTAAGAGATGTTTAATAAGGGAAGTAAATACAAAGCTATTAATATAACAAAGGCCAAGTATTTTGGAACAATAACTGGGAACACGTTAACGTGGACTGGTTTTAAGTTTTTCCTTAACTCATTGATACTCTTCTGAGAGTTAGCATTTAAAGTCTGAAATGTTCCTACAGTTTTTTGTTATCATGTTGTGCAGACAGCTGAGTGTAAATAAGCTTGCTCTCCACTGAGGTCTGGAAAGAATGACAAAGTTCTGAACCTCCTGCCTAAAATTTTCATATGGGCATCAAAGAGAGAAAGGGCAGAAGCAATGGCCAAGAAAGAAGTTCTTTGTTTTTACCTGAAATCAACCAACAGCCAGTATGGAAGATGGGATAGGTTCTTTTACGCTTGCCGAGAAATCACAGATCCCAGCTAGTGCAGAATGCTGCAGTTCAGGGAGAACACCCACTGCCCACATAACGATATAGCCCAGTCAAGAGTGCAAGCAGGTATGAACAAGTGAGGTCTGGTTCACCTAAGCCAACTTAAAATTATTTAAAATAATTCCAGACAGCCTGAGAGAGTTCATTGTCCAAAATAAACCCCTGAACTATGCCAACTCAAAAAAAAAAAAAAAAAAAAAAAAGCTTTTCTCTGCCTACAATTAGAGTTTTACTCCTCAAACTAGCTTTGTGTGTTTCTAGTCCCAAACATTTTAATCTGAGATTTTTTCACATTGCAAACGGAATACTTCAAAATGGAGAAGAAACAGAGCCCTGAATAGAAAACTTTTTAACGAGTATGTGGATAGTCTGATGGCATGTAGCTTGTAAGGAATGGAACCTCTCACTCCTGCTCCAAGTTCACAGAACTGTTACTCATTTAATGAATAAAGTGAAAAACACAAACAGCAGCAATAAATACTCCCAAAAGATGAAGAAAAATCATTTAGGATCATAAATAATACACACAGGAAGAGGAAATCCCCATTTCATATTATCCCTTCTGGAATGTCAACCATGCAGGGGTCCTGCTTAGCACTACTCCCAGGTTATCTGGGCTTTCATCTACAAACTGCTTGGTCACTAAACAACTCTGGAAAACTCCTGCCTATCCTACCATTATTGGAATTCCTGACAAAAACTTGCCATGTTGTTTTAATGGGTGAGACGTGTTGTGGAACAAATCCCATTGCGTTTTACCCTGAATAGGCAAATAGCAAGCCCACCAGAGTTGGACAGCAAATGATGGAGCCTACAGGCTGAGAAAAGTTCAGAGTTAACACCAGAACCTATGAACCAACGCCAGTCAGTGAAGTCATCCCAGTCCCCTCGTTTGTTTTCAGAACTGTGATCACCTTTTCTCAGCTGTCAAAGATCCTGCAACAGTAATGGGACCAAAGAACTTCATTATTAAGCAAAGTATACATAACTCTGCTTTTTAAGACTTCTCTGACCTTATCTGCGTGCAAAGGAATAAACATTCGCATTTTGGCTTAACTAAAATGCACACATAAAAATCTGAAAACTTACATATACCATGCAAGTAACACCTACACAGAGCATGGAAATCACAAAGTGCTACGTAAGAAAGCCTTACTGTTCAGATCTCTGGATATCTATTACTACACACAGACTAAAATGCCACAGGGTGCACGCAATTAGAAAATGGGAGAGGCATTACTCTTTCAACAAGTATGCACCCTTTTACTAGGTTAAACCTGTTTATATAACTGATTCCCAAGTACACACAAGCTAAATTATGATTACATTTATTAAAATATACTACATGCCAGCAGACTATTCTTGTAATGTGGTCCTCACACCAAGGGAGAAAAGCTTCAGCTTTATCAATTCTGGTTAGGAGCAAGAGATGGCAGCCACAAACAAAAATTAAAAAAAAAATGGCAGTCAGCAGTCAGACACCAATGCAAAGATGCAGTAATTATCAGCTGGAAATTAAGTAGTAGTAACAGTCAGAATAGAGTGAACTTTGCAAAGAAACAGCTCTGTAAGCTTTCCTTGGGTTTTCCGTTTTCTCTTGCTATCACTTGTCTTATTTCAATACATTACACATGGGAAATGTTGTCTTGAATGTCTTGAGTTGTTCAAAGTACTGTGTTTCATTGCAAGAATATCAACCAGATCTTTTGATGAGCTGTGGATGGAAGAGAGCACTTCTGGCATTTGCTGCTAATTGGGAACCAAAAAAAAGTCCAAATGAATTCCAAGATTGTAATGAGATTGTAATGTGGATCTGACATAATGAAGACAGGGTAGACAGCTCCAGTGGTTCTCCCCGCCAGCACATTGAGGTAGTTTTATTCACATTCACATCAAATAGCTACTAATTGCTTTTTACCCAGATGCTTTTTTAATTTAGATACTGTAACTACAAAATAGGAGTATTCAAGATCCATGAGAAAAGAAGGGGCTGGTTATTATCTGGGCACTGCTGGCACTAGATGCTACAGTGGGCTTACTCTTCATAAAAACAGCTTTACTGAATTTGGAGACAACATATGCTACAGCTATATGCACACCTGCAGTTCCGGATTCATAAACAAAGGGTTTGTTATGGTATGGTTAAGAAAGATGTAATAGGCAAAGTAATTTCATAGTGCATTACAGAAGAAAACAGTTTGCAGTCTCTGGCAAATCTTTGATGTTTGCTTTTCACACCTGGTGAGTATGTTAACTAATGTCATTTTGAACCCTTTAATCCAGAGGGAGATATAAAAATATTCAAAGATTAAAGATTTTATTGAAGCACTACATTTAATCTATGCTGTGTCCAACACTGATGGCAAAATGATGTGCAAAAAAAAAAATCCTCCGCTTTAAGTAGAATAGATAATACATCACTAAAAAAAAATAAAAATAAACCTCTACTTTGCGGCAATGTACCAGCTCCTGGGTTATTCTCAAGGTTCAGACAAAACTTTGATGTCCTGACCTCTAACCACCTCTTAATGGAGAGAAACCACCCAAAGCCTCTTCATAATGGAGAATACCAGTGAAGATGCACAATTCTAAAGAGTGCATCTCCTCATCCCCAGCATATAGACAGCATGCTGTACGTTATCCAAGAGGAATCGCAACTACTTCAACTACTTTACTGTTTAATAAAATAGAATAAGTTGGAAAATGTATTTTAGAGGATTTAAAGTCAAGCAGTCTCTAAAATCCTGTATCTGACTTGGAAAAAATTCAGTAGCATGTAACACATACTTATATGACTTGCATACTTAAGTGACAGAGCAACATTTTCCTATCTAGCACTTTGCACATCTGAAGTATTCTTAAGGTGACAAGTCTGTTCATCTTGACTGGCTGTTCTCCAGAAACATCTGTCCACTGGTGTAACACTTCCACCTGCAACGGTCTTGCACAGCTACACAGAATTAAGATTTTTTTTTTTTCTGAAGAGAAGGAATTGCTTTCAATTTTAACCAAAGTAATTATTAAACCTAGAGCTTATGCATACATTTTGGTAGTGATCATAACTGGTAAACTAGATAAAGAATAAATATCAGGATTTCCAAAACTGACACCGTAACAATACTGCTGCTTGATTCATCAAGCAGGGACAAAATACAAACAGCATGCTCCCAATAAGTCTATTAAGATTTATGTGGTTATTGGTAATAGGTAGCACAATAAAATAAGCTGATTTAAACAATTTTCCTCATATGATTCCGCTATAACCATGTTTGTTAGGAAAAACACTTGTAACATGATGGGAAGTTTAGGACAGTCACGATGGTATTAGCCTTACATAAGCACACAGAGCTACAGTTTGTCAGCAGTGCACTATATTTTGTAGCAGATAAAAGATTTCTGTAAAATTTGCACTGCTGCATACATAGGCAGTAGTTCTCCATGAAAAGAATTAAGACAGTTTTTTGTGTTTTGTTTTTCTCTAGTCCTTAACAATAAAATGGACACATCAGACCAAAATAGTTTCTTAAAAGTAGGTCAACATACCCATTCACGATCGTTTCTGCAGTGGTTTCCTAGCAAATTAATCTACCCACACAGATATACGTAATGCGTATCCTGGATACAGTGAGGCAGAGAAAGAAAACCAAATACATTAATGAGGTAGCTTAGACTGAATAACTGCAGTTAAAAGTTTTATTGAACAAAAGAAGGTAAAATGTGGTAGTCCAAGTTCACTGAGCAAAAGCAGCTCTCCTGCTGAAGCTGCACTTTGTGCTAAATAACCTTATTAACTGAGACTATACAGAGGACACATTATGCAAGTTATCTCAACAGCAAAGGAGAAAAAGACTAAATTTAAACTGATGGAAAATTTCGGTCAAATTCAGTGGCTTAAGTTAATGTTTCTAGCCCTTATCTAACTATATTCAGTACAGGTGTACAACAGAATATACAACTGCACTGAATTCCCATTTGATATAGTGTGTGCTCCCATGTAGGCGGAAGCCAATTCCTGAAAAGACATGAATTAAAAATACCCAAATATTTTAAATTTTGTGTTTGAAGCATCACTCAACTGACTCAGGAAAAACACTCATGTTATAAAAAAAACTCTCAGCCTTTACAAGGTCCAATTCCTGTATAGTACTAACATTTTAAAATTAATTATTTCTCCCCTCTGCCTAAGAAACTTTGTATGCTCTGAACAAACCCACGTCAGGTTGGTAAACAGATATGTCAAAAATACTCTGTGAAAAGAGGGAGGTAGCTCAGGCCCCTTGGCAACCTTCTGTTATAACTAACATTGATGTAGTCTACCTCCCTTTGTAATCTGCAGTTAAAAAATGAAAGAAAATGGATTTTAATTATGAAATTTAGTGAAGGAATGAGTTCAATACAAGGTCTTCAAATGTGACTCACTGGGCTTCCAAATTAAGTTGTAAGGTACCTCACACCCAATACACAACATTAATAACGTACCTAATTCATACATTTTACAGACAATATCTTCCCATTTGTTAAACATTTGGCTCGTGTGAGTACATGTTTTTTGTTAACCACTTGACAAACATTCTAGGCCAGACAAACAGCACAAATAATGTCAAAGTCTTTTTTTCCAGTAATTGTACCAAATGCTGTAGGCTAAGCCTAACAGAAACTACTGAAGAAAAATAATAGACTCCATGATGCAGTGCAAAGGTGTTACTACAACATCGTAAGTCAAGGGATGTTTCTAAGGTGCTGAAAGAGGAGATTCTCTAGACGGTGACCCTGTATTGTCCTCTGGTGGGAAAACAGTAAGAGTGCAGGCTCGAATGCCACCAAGTGATTCTGGAAGGTCAAATACTTTATGCCACTCATCTTTTTCTGGATCATATTTCTGAACTATTTCCACCATACACCGGTTATTCCAAGAATATCCTCCAACAACATAGATTTTATTTTCAAAGACAGCAACCCCAACATCACTTTGCCCACGTAACATGGCAGCAATTGGTGTCCACTGGTCTAGAGTTGGTGAATAATATTCACAGCTTAGAACATCATCATAATCACTTGTTCCTCTAAAGTGATTTCCACCAATAACATAAAGCTTGTCTCCTACAGTACACATGCAATGCAGACCTCTGACGGTCGTCATCGGAGCTTTCTGAGTCCATTTGTCTGTGTCAGGGTCAAAACACATAAGTTCCTTTTGGAAAGTGTCATGTGTAATTCCACCTAAAGAAATAAGACACATTAGAATAGTCCTTACACTAGTAGCCAATAAACAGCAAAAGCATACACTTCAGTGAATGAATTGTCTTCCCTAGAACTTCTTCACATTGCCTTAGATTAGTATCTGATACTTACTCCATTTCAAATTACATTTTTAATATAACTTGTTCTTTTACATATGAAAGGAGAAAGGAGACATGCTTCATTATACAACATATATAACAGTGCTTAATTATATAAAATGCTACTGGCAGATTAAAAGAACAAAAAATTGTTACCCGTGCTTCATTTTGCAAAATGTTTGTTTTTTTAAAAAAAACAAAACAACACATTTGTTTGGTTTGCTGGTTATTTCATCATGAAAACAGGAATCCATTTCTGTCAATTTTTGATTCAATGTTACTACATTTTAAGTGGTCCTTACCAGAGCTTTCTGAAGAAAAACTTAATGATAAAGAAACTAATGACAAAGAAACAACAAGGGATTGATCTTTACATTTTCATCCCCTACGTGTCTTGATTCATGAGGATAACTGAGGGGAGAAGTAGAGGAAAAGAAAAATCTGTGGCAAGTATACAGCATCTATATGAACAGCCACAATAGGGAGTATATCCATGTGCTGCCTGCAGTAAAACAAGCAGAGCAGGGGAAGAAAGAGGGTACAAATAGCAAAACAGTGATTAAAAGCTAGCTTGATTGATTTAGGCATAGAAATACAAGCAAGCAGCTGTACTTTATGGTAAATTTTGAAACAAATTATTCCTTTTCTACTGGCACAAGGCCACCCCGCCCCCCAACTCAAAATATCCTGAGAATCAGCCAGCTCCAGTGGATCTCCCCACCAGTTGTCTACAGCTGAACAGTCTTGCCCATCTCCTGCTCAGAATTTCAGCTTTAGATTCAGATATTAGTGGACATTCCTTAAAACTGCAGTAGAACATACACAGGGTTATGTCCTCCTTTCACCTTCTCCACAATCACTGAAAGGACAACACCTGTGGATGACAGCAGATGCTAACCTAAAAGTATTTAGAACAATGAGCTGAAATCATAGGTGTGGCGTCTGATCTTTTCCATCACTGATAGAAAAATAAAGTTTGAATAGAGCTAGTAGAGATCACTGAGAGACTGAATCTTTAGAAAATGAGCAGATACCAGTCTTTCAGAAAACCTACTTCCCCAGTTTATGTAAAAAAAAACAAAAAACAGAATGAAGCTATAACCTGAGTGACACTTAAGACTAAGTATACTATAGTGAAAGGCTAATGAAAATAGTCATCATTTGTAAACTGTGGTTAACGTTACAACTTATCCCTTTGTGTTATCTGCCTTCGCAAAGGCAGATGCCTTTCTTCAAAGGATTAAAATATCCAGTGCTTTCCAAAATGCATCAACAAGGACGTGTTTAATGGCTACTGCCACATTAGTCTATGTGCTGTTGCTACAAAAAATGTATTCTGACAGTTAAAGTGAATAACCGCTTTGCAATTATAAGTGGTTATTCATTATATAATGCTTAACCTAGTAAATATATATTTTTCAGACTCCTCAGTATATACAGTATTTGACTGGCTCCACGTGAAGGTGTGTCACTACTTAAATCACAGCAAACATACTGTGACCAGAGACTAATTCTTATTGTCTCCCATGAAATAGAAAAAGTTAGGCAATTATTTGATAGAAATGGCATGATTAATTACTTACCTGAAATATACATTAAACCTCCATACACGGTTCCAGCATGACCATAGTGGGGTTCATTCATTTTTGCAACATAGCTCCATTCGTTCATTCTGGGATTATAGCATTCCACAGTGGCTGTTTAAAACAAATGAGAATATAGAAAAGTTGAATCTAGCACAGGAATTTGGCTTTCAGTATAGTAGTAGTGGCATTAATATATTCGTAAACAGAGGAAGTATCAATGGGAAACATTGTTTAGCTGAGAAAGTGTCAAAGGAATTACTGAATATTATGTATAGAGGCAATACAGAAAAAGCCTCAAGCTTTGTCCCAGAGGAACAAAAAGGAATAAAAATCTTGCTTTCTTGCCTTCCACTCATCTAATTCCCATTCTTACTTGACACGTAATCTGGCCAACTCCTGAACCCTACCAGAGGTACAGCCATGGGACACCAGAGAAAATGGTGATTAAGATGGATGCATTCAGTCTTTCTACCCCTTCTTTTTGTACAACTGACTCTGATGCCTGCTGTAGAGAGACACAGGGTAAACTTGAAACCTGTCTCAAAGAGACTCAATAGATCTGGCAGACAGAACTTTTCAGACCCATTTATTCAGTAACGTTCCACTCACACAGAAAATCAGGATTGATGTTCTTAACATTTCCACATTGAAATGATATTATGCCCTCAAAAGAGGAAAGCAACTGTTGACTAAAAATCTGTTGTCTTAGCAATGTTTTGTTAAGTATGTGTACAGCAACACACAGCACAACATATGCAGACCACTAATTCAAAGTTTACAAAAGCCAGGCTTTAAAAAATACAAGACGAAACACCTGTAACACAACTGAAGCTGTGACAGGGGACAGTCAGGCTGTATATTTTCCTGGTCAGGAAAAGGTTCTTCACCAAGAGGGTGGTTGGATACTGAAATAGGCACCCCAGGGCAGTGGTCACGGCACCAAGCCTGCTGGAGTTCAGGATGCATTTGGAAAATGCTCTGCTCTCAGACATGGGGTTTGTTTCTTGGGTGATCCTATTTGGAGCCAGGAGTTGTATTCCACGATCCTTGTGGGTCCTCACAAACTTGGGATTATTTTATGATTCTATGAATTCAGAAAGAAGAGGCACCTGTGTTGACACACAACTCTATTTGTGCAATATTCTTTGTGACTTGGAACATCAGAATGATCAAAGGATTTATCAAATCAGAAATTGTGAAGGGTAAAAATAATTGTGAAGTTAAAAAGAAACCCAGAACCCATGCATCCTTGCAGAAGACATAGTTTAAAAGGAGGAATCCTCTCCTGGAAGTGGGATGGAAAAGATGCAGAGTTCCAGGAAAATGTCTACACAATAAGCACAAAAAAAATATTGAATAATGGATCTGAGCAAGCTATAGAGACTGACAGCTTGAATAGTATAATATGACCAGAGGCATAAGAGATCCTGAAAAAATATACTGACCTTATGATGCACAAAGCAATTACCAATAATTACGTTATCTCAGACATATTAAATCTCATTTTAAATAATTAAGAATCAGATTCTAATGCATGTTATATAATGCTTAATCTCTGAAGAGAGATATTTATGGACTATGCATGCAAAATGTAATCTGTCTTTGAAACTGGCATTTTACTTGCTCTAGAACAAGCTTTTATTCAATCAAGTGTAGAAAATTTGAGCCAGCTTTATGGAATGGTGACTTACAGCCTAGGATTTCACATCAACAGATTAAAAAAAAAACAGAATCTTGACATTTTAAAGGCAGAAATGAGTTAAATGGGTTCAGCATAATATAAGGTTTAAAAAAAGATGTTGCACAAGAAAACTGCTAAATTGTTAACAGCACACTGGATTTTTTCACCTCCCCTCCCCCCCCAAACAGGAGCCAAAATATAAATTTATACGATGGGCAAAAAAAAAGACTTAAAACAACTGGAGTAAAATGTCTCTATACACTACTGCTGACATGATAAAATTGATTTAAAAGACCTCCCCAAAATAGGGAAGTTTCCATGTTTCCTCTAAGAGATCACTCCGTCACTGAGCACTTTTCCTAAAATCTAGCCCTTTTATTATTGCAATGTCCTAACCCAGACATTTGAAATGAGTCTCAGGCTGCCTTTTGTATTACACATACAGATAAAAGTCTGCATAAGGAAAGGTAAGAAAAGGCATTCAAGCTTTCTTCTACAAACAGAAGTTAAAACATAAAAATCAAGCCTGACTTTAAAATCCCAAATTTCTCCTAAAATGCTTGGAATTTTTTCCATTTGACGTCCTTCGGAATTTCTATATCCATCCAGGATATACACGTATACTGTCATAATGCCAGTGAATGCAGAAGACAGAACCTTGACCAATTAAGACACGTATACACTGAAATATGATTCCGCAAATTACACATGCATTTCGATCTGAGTTGTGTTTCTGAGATCTGGGATCCTGGCACCACATTCAGTATTTGTGCAATCCTCAAAAGTATCTATGTTCTTTCTTGTGTAAATGTATTCACCCATTCCAATATTATTTCCTAAAATTGAGAGGTCCTTTCTACTCTGCTCTATTTAGCAATCAGAAAAACAAAGATGTGCAGAAATTTCAAGAACAGAGAAAAACAGATCTGACATGCAAGTAATTATAGCTGTCCCAGTTCTACCCTGACAGCAGACCCTTCCAACCTGCTGTTAGCTGCCATGGTACACCAAAATTGTTCAGTTTGCTCTCACAAAAACAAAAGCACCCTCTTTCCCATGCTACTTACATTCTGCACTGAGGTGGGGAACTTCGATTTCAAATACAGTATAAAAACAGGAAGAGCAGAGTATGTACAAAAATCACAAAGCCATCAGTAACCACAAAACTGCAATGTAACATGACATTCAACACTAGACGACTGCTGATCTTGCTCTGCACTATGGACTCCATTTGAGAGGATCCTTAGCCAAGAGATCGCTTTAGCAAGAGAAGATAATACATGCAGAATTTGGTATATACTACTTTACTGACATCACTGTATCATCATGTTGTAAAGACATCAGTTGTTTGAGAAAAGATGCAACTGTGTCCCAAGATCCCTCATTTCTGCTGACATTTCAAAAACTCTCTTGAACATCACCAATACAGATAAAGAACTGCTTGACAGTATTTCAGATAAACCATCCAAACTCAAATCTTGCATCTAGTATGCTCTAAAATAAAGCTAATTACTTCTGAGCTGAAAAAACCCTACTGTTCTTTTTGGGTTATGTACATAGTTGTTTCCCTGCTAGGTCATTCCATTTCTCTCCTTTAACAAGACCTCCCAGTACACTGGAAGAAGAAAGTATTTAAAATTCCAGTTATTACTTAAAGGTGCCCATCATTTTAACAGACATCAGAATGTTTTGTATATCATGCTTAGACTGAGTACAGTTGACAAAGCACTCAAAAGAACTATTTTATCGAACCCAACTATATATTTTATATAGGATGAGACTGATTAATCCATTTCTCAAAAGCATGAATTATTCCAATCAGTTTTTACCTATGTTTTAACAGGGGAACTTCTCTTAGTTACCAATAATAAAGGAAAGACAAGCCACATTTTAATAGAATTAAGCAATCTCAAAAGGACACAAAGCTTTGGCAGTCCCAAGGGATGCTCAGCCTGCACTAACTTTATAGTGCCATCTGTGATGTTATTTGAGGAATATATAGATATTTCCCATTTCTCTGTCAGTAGCTTGTAATGTGTCTTGAGGTTTATTACAGCAGTACTTAGCAACTGTGTGTGATGTCCAGAAACTTAGGATCTTCATTTTATTATATTTTCTACAACACAACATGCTTCTAAAGAACTCAAAGCTTACTTGGTTAAATTAAACAACGCCCCAAGTAATTTTGCCCCTAGCATAGCGAGGAGTCACTTCAGCTTATATACAGGGGTCCTTTAGCTCACACTTCAATATTTACAGTACTACACAGGCAATAGAGAGCCTAACAGGATAGTAATGTAAATTTTTCTTCTTACCCAACATCTAAAATATGAATGAGAAGTAGTTTTTTTTGTTTGTTTGTTTTTGTTTTCTTTTAAACACAATCAAAGAATTGCTTGATTTGAGAGTTAAACATCATCAGCATAAAGGCCTTAGGCCCTGATCTACTCAGTGGCATCCCCGCCCATAGTAGGGGATTTGGAACCAGATGATCTTTAAAGTTTTCTAACTCAAGCCATTTTTATGATTCTATGACAGAGGCCACCTGATAACTAAATGTCTCTCTAGTTGTTGGACCAGGAGTCAAGAGAGCACATAGCTGTTCTTCCCTAAGCTATGAGTCATCTGCTTTTACTGCAGCCATGAAGGTGGTACCAATGACAGCCCAACATACTCTAAAGTGCTTAGGAAAATCCCACATAGAAAATCTCAAGTAAGGAGTAAAGTGAAGTATACCAAGTAAAACAACAGCAGAGCCTGAAACATCAGCACATAATTGCGTAAGTTTCCTAATAAATAATGAAAGGTATGGCTTCTGCCAGCATCAGGCACCATAACTAAGCTCCTTGAGAAATAAAAAAAATTTACTTTAAGATGGGAAAACAGTATCCTGTGCTCTGCACAACCAGAAATTGTCTATGACACTGCTTCTTGAATATCTCTGAGAACCACACGTGTTTTTTCCTTTGTCTCCTTTTCCAATAAGTCTTTTTATGCACACCTGGCTTCTCCAAGCTGGTCTTGGAGTGATGTTCTCTCTACCTTCTAGTAATACCTTTGGCAGGTGCCTGCTGTGACATTTAAAAAAAAGAACAAACCAGAATTACGCTAAAACATCCTAGGACTGGTGCATACTTGGAAGTCTGAATTATAATTCCAGAATTTAGTATATTTCAGATACATTTCCCATACTTTGTTGCAGGTACCACATACTGTCAGTTTACTTGTCCTCACCAACGAACTGAATTTTTCTTCAAGTGTCATGCATTGTTAAACAGTAGCAGTTTATTACTGTGAAAGTACATACTGAGTTTAGAAAGCAATATTTATAAAGTTCTCATAAGATTAAACATTTTAGAACTGTTTTGGAAATACTTGATAAAGAACCTCAAAAAATATTTTTTATTCCAGTACTTCTCCAGGAGGAAAAAAATAAAAATCATTTTAGTAACTTTAATCCTTTGACCCTTTTCCGTAAGAGCTGATCTTCTGTGAAGCTGAATTCAGGTTTTTGTAATTTTTCCCTCTCTTACAACAGATTGAAATTAGTTTGAACTCAAGGGCAAGTTCTTTAATACCTGTCCAACACACCTGACCTTCTCTGGTATGAAAAGCTTGGAGATTTCCTCATCTAAAGAAAGTGGGAAGTTAAAGCTGGATTTCATCTTTCAGCTGTCAAGGTTTACGAAAGAAACATGAAAATGAAAAGTGACTTGCCTCACAATTAAGAAGAAAAGAAACAAGACCCAAATCAAAGCATGAGACAGCTATAACAGTTAACATTCATCGAGTGCTCTTCCCATAGAGTGATCCAATGAGGTTTTCCAGGCCTGTGTGGAAATCGCTGCAGCATTTTAATGATATCTTTACAGAAGAATCTTAGGTGATAAATTTTGTATTTTAATTAAAGTTGCAGGAGAGTTGAGGTCAGCAGAATGATATTGCCTGATCTAATAAAAACACTGCACTTAAAGCCTGTTTTATATGCAGGTTGCACTGGCTTGGTAACAACTTACCAACTTTTTCACTGGCATTCTTACAACCCTATTCTACTTAATTGGTACAATAGTGGTACAATACAGAAGGTTAATCTGTTCATCTGCTATTAATTCACATCAGTAGAAAACAGCTCAACAAAGGTCAGGTTTTCTGACACTCAAGATAATAAATACATATTAGTTTCAACTTTTTAGAATTATTTTCAGGTATACAAAGTGACATGCAAGAAAACATGAAAATCTCTGTATTTACATCAGAAAATGGCTAAAGAAAACAAATTTTTGCAAAACTGTTTCCAATGTTTTCTGAAACCAGAAACATTTTTAACGTCTAATTTCATCAAAGAGATCAGATTTTAAACTGTGAACAAAACTAGCCCAGCTCTGTCTAGTACTAGCAGAATACAGCATATTTCTTAAGAAATTTTGCAATACGATCATTAAAGTGTTTATCTGAAAAGCCAAGATGCATTAATTAAAAAATTAAGCTGTTGCCGCACAAATTAGGTTTATTATTGTTTCAAGTAAACGTTTCTCAGTATTCTGTATCACTGTACTTGTAAAAAGCAAGTCTTTGCAACAAGAGAAACCACCACAAAGAAGTGATGAGACACAGCTGAGTATTGGGATGAAAGCAGCAAAGAAAATAATGAAATGCTACATCTGTACTAGATATTTTAGCATGCTAAAATGCCACACACAATCACATTTCAATTTCAAAGCACTTAGACAAATTTACAGTTGATTTGGGTGCAACCACTATCAACTTTGGAAAACGTGGACCAACATGGACCATCCTCTTTCTTAAATTAAAAGATACCATGTCTCTCTTCTTTGTTTCCAACCACCTTTATTTCTCTGATTGTGTGGGGGTAGTGGTGGAGGCAGAGGTGAATAAAATGAATAATCATTTGGCAAGGAGAGGAGGGGGAAAAATAGAGGCATCAAGTCATTTATATTAATGGTACATTACCTCATAAAATCATAGGCAAAATACAGTATTTTTAGTAGTTAAAAATCACAATGTCAGAATATCTAAATCTCATTAGCTCACCTTTAAAAAAAGGTAACTAAAATTTAAAACTGACTGTTACAGAAAGTTTGGATCTTACAAAATGCAAACTTCCTGTAATAGTCTTTCATTTAAAAGGCTATCTCTCCCCTACGAGAGGAAAGAGTAGTTTTGGTTTCCCAGCTTAATTATATATTTGTTACATCATGACTGTATATATATACACACACATACATGTACACAGTTACACATGCAGACACACTCACTGATGACAAAGTTGAAGAGACTGGATATTTTGCATTGGTAGATAAGATACGTATTTTAATTTATTTTTTTTTTGTGGAAGCCCTTCTAAAATGAGTTGCTAATGGTATCCAGACAAATTTCTCTAAGCATTTTTGGGATTTCCAGAAAGAAGCTGAATGGCAGCAAATTCAATTTGTTTTCTCTCCACCCATTCAAAGGGCAGCACAGCATTTCAAGGCCTAAGAAGAAAGGCAAGAAGTCATACTTAAGACAAATGCTTACCTAGCTCGCCTGCTGCGTTTCGACCACCAACTGCATACAAATGTCCTTTGAGGGCACTTAGGTGGAAGAAGGTACGCTTCTCATTTAAAGATGCGACTTGCATCCACTTGTTATAGCGAGGATCAAATCTGAAGACCGTGTCAACTGCAGTCTTTCCTTTTGTGTCGTAATTGCTCTGTCCACCAACTACATAAAGAAAGTTTCCAATCACAGCAATGCCATGCTGGTACCTTGGTGCATCCATGGGAGCTAGTGATTTCCATTCATGGGCCTTTTCATCATACATCCGTAATTCTTTGCTCACAACCAGTTGCTGCCTCAGCACTCCCCCCAATGTTACCAAGTGCGTACTGTCTGATCGAATGGCAGTTCTTTCTGACTGCATAACTGGTTGCATGTATGGCATCATTTGGTAATTGCTGGCTTCCAAAAGCAAGTTTACACAGGTGTTGTCAGTTCTCATGAAGTCCACTGTTTGAACATAGTTAATAAGATCCTGGGGTGTCATCAAGGGAAATCTGATGTTCTTCATTAGCTTTGCAGCATACTCCATCCGAGGCTCCTCATACCGCAGCCAGCGACAAGCCGCCTTGAAGAGTTCAAGTTCAGTGCAGTGCTTAAGGCTATTACTTGAAAGCACAAAGGCAAGACGTTCAAAGGGGAGTTTCACAAATTCACCAGTACTTAATAATGCAGGAAAGTTCTTCAGGATGAAATTATTAACATATTTATCCACTTCTGTGAGATTGTATGTGTTGGCAATTCGCCCAACCTCAACACAGTTCTCCAATGAAACCTATTAAGTAAATGGAAAGAGGGATCAAAACACTTTCTTAATTTGGTTTCTAAATGATAATGTAGAATTTAATGAATACTATAGGATCAGCAACATTTTCAACACTTGACATGCTCAAGGTGGTTTACATATGAGCAAATAAATATTCGATGTGATGTATATATTCATGACCACAAGGAGAGAGCCAAGGTATTCCTTATTTTGAACAAAGAAATGAGACAAGTAACAAGCAGATGGCATATATTATGTCAGATACATTACACAATGATGATACATAGCAAATATAAAGCACTCTGACTTTGAAATATTCTGCAAATGTCTTTGTAAGAAAGAAACATTGAAAATACAGTTAAAGGAATGGCAATTAGCTCAAAGTTACATAAAATGATGAAAAAGTAGGGCTTTCCATTACACTTTTCCAACATTATTAAAGCTTTTATTATCATAACCTCTTTTCCAAAGGAAGGTAGGACCTGGTTATCTTTGTAGGTTCCTTCCAACCTGGGCTGTTCTATGATTCTATAATGCTGTCAAAGAGAATGACACAGCTACCTCTCCAATTCTACCTATTTTGGACAACATATTCCTTAGAAATGAGTAAAATTGCATTTATGCATCTTTGGCAAATTAAGATGGTACTCTTACAGAATATGTTCAAAATTACATAGCATAGTCAAAAATAACAAAGCTAGCAATTTAAGATAATGAACATATTAGGATTTCCCTTAAAAATACACAGCACGAGATAATCTTTATCAGCGTGGATCATACCAATTCAATACTTGAATGACCGTATGTTGGTAACCATACCTTTTACAGTGCTGCTGCATCTACCCTTATTACATTTTAGACTCCTTACATTTCTAGGGCCACTCAGCATCCAAGGCCAGGGGAGAAAGATAGATGGGAGGGAGGGGACATAACTTAAGTGGGACTTCAGTGAACCCAGTCACTTCACTTCTGCAGGCTCTATGGTACATACGCACAGCAAGTCAATTTTCAGACTCATGTTAAGAATTGCAGCTTTTTTGCATTCAATATTCTAGCCCAAGCTTCATTTGCACATGCTTTAAAGTCTCTTTACAGATCGAGCCAACAGCATGTCAGTCCTACTCAATGCTGACAATTTCCACAACTTTTTTTTTTGTGATTCTCCTATTTTTAATGCCAAAAAAAAATTTAAGCTGCCACATCTTTGAATTATTTTCATGTGTGCATGTATATGTATATATAAATACACACATCTAAGAGTGAGAACTATGACCTGACTGCAGCCTAAGAATACAGAAACATTCAGTTTTCTGGCCATGACAGAGTACTGTATAACTTCAGTCTGATCACGTTGCCCTTTAATAATGGGCAATTCCAAAAGTTAGTAAGTATAGGAATAGCAGATTTTTTTTATTCACTAGAAACTGATCTCATTTTTCCTAGAATTAAGATCTGCAGTCAACAAAACCTTCATTCACAAGTCTTGAATCACCTTCCTAAAAATCAAAGGATCTGGATCTGATTCTTTATCTTGTCTATAAGAAATGCAGACTGACAGGATCTTTATTATAAAATATCTACACCACACATACACAGAAATTTTTATATTAGAAAACAGACCACATTGTTTACACTAAAATATACTCATATCATCTAGCAATGCTTATAAAACATTCTCTGATGCTCAAGAAACATTTTGATCCCTCTTCCACCTGTTTTTAAGAAACGGTATCAAACTTATTTCCGTGTATTTCCTTTTAGGCTTTGTAACTTATATTAAGTGAATATTAGAAGTAACAGTACTGTAAATTAAGGAAGTGAAACTGTACATTCCTCTGAAATTTCTATCAAGCTGAATAATAAAGGAATGAAAAGATATGGGAATGAAAAATCACCTGTTAGCAAACAGATGACATATTATAATGCAACTTTTAACTCTTGCAAAAGAAGTTATGGCATTTAAAAACTTACTTTTGAATACATCTACTGGTATCCAATTATAGAGATGCAGCATTTTCTCCATGTCAAGATAAGTAGAAATGTATTATTGCATATAGAAAAGGCACGCTTGAAATCAAAAGATCAAGCAAAAAAGGTACAGATTACATACCATTAGTACTTGGATTCCGGTTGCAATGAACCATTTACATATATTGTGGAATGTATGCCAATTACCAGGTGCCCAGCACACAAGGCTATTCTAAGCTTCTCCCAGTGCTTGCATCCAGTTGATGTATTAGCATAATTAAGTTATACTGTACAACTATCCAACTGAATATATTCCTAGAATGTCTGTACTTGAGTAATGTGTCAAATTTCTCATCGTTAGTGACAGATGAACATCACATTGACAGTTTCCAGTGCCCTCCAACTTCTCATAGAATTTCCTTAACGCTTTAATTAACCTAATGGAATTGCATTGTACTCTGATTATTTTATTATTATTACTATCATTACAATCACATGTACTACCCATTAGGCTCACAAAATCATGCCCTTTTTGGCTTACTAACAAGTCTATCACTCACCTCAAAACAGGATACCATATGAAATATTTTCTTAAAGTTTACTTCCCTCACCAAAAGTGCTATTATCAATATCACTGTGGTCTAAGACAATGCATCATGCTAAATTATGTTGCCAAAAGAAGTTGTCAAAAATATACACTAGAGATTCTGAAGTCCTGAGCCAAAAAAAAACAACCCTTCAACAGAAGGGAATGCTATAGTCCCTTCCACTTAAATATTCAAAATTAGACAGGGTTAAGTTACTAGAATGGTATTTAAACTATTTTTGTTACGGCAAATTAACAAATTATTCTCCAAAACATTTGAGTTATGTTATGGTACTTATGAGAGGTGTGGAAACTGTTCTGTAAGGAAGTCAGTCAATCAGGAGCTCATCAACAAACAGAAGGAACTGCTACTTCTGGAAATCCTACTGAAGTGAATGGGAGGAATGGAAATATCAGACAAATATATAACTTTATACAACAAATCCAGTAACTAGTGAAGATATTCATGCAAAACAGCTAAAAGCCATACGGGACAAACACCTAAGCAACATCCTAAGAAGTTACAAATTTAAGATAAGACTTATTTAACTTGAACATTGACTACCGTGCAGAGCTGCTGCTCATTCACATTACTCATTGCAATTACTTATTACAAAGCAGAAGTAAAAATTCCAGAAAATAAAAAGCTTTTCAAAGTGCTGAACACAACTATATTACTACAGCCAGAAAAAAAATGCAAGAGTACTTCCCCCTTAAAAAGCAGTTGAACTAATTCTTTGAAATTTTGAAACAATCACTTCAAGCTCTGTTAAAAACTTAGTTGACTATAGAATACTACAAAACTGGATACAGAGCAAAATCATAGTGAGTACAAACTCCCTGGAGAATAACTCATGTGATCTTGCACAGAACATCAATATTCAGGCATCTAACTTTTTGTTTCAATGACTGTCAGACTATGGAGCATTTAACGTGGCATTTCAAAGAGTTTAAGATTAAACAAACTTCCATTCCCCTGAAATAACTATTTGTTTTGTGAGCTTCCATATACAGAAGTCCAGAAATAAGTGTAGGCATTTGACCAGTTCAGAAAACTGAGTTGATCAAACTCCTACTTTAGAAAATGTGGATTTCTATAGCAGCTGGGAACACCAGCCCCAGAGTTAGATCCCACTCTACCGCAAAACTGAAACCATCTTGCTCCCATTCTCAATTAACCAAGACAGACTTCCAAATACTGAGACCTCAATATTTGAGGATTTTCTAGTTTAATACTCTATTAATACTCTATTTTAATACAGAGAAAACTGCAGAAGCGTTCTAACATTCAACTTGAATGGAGCTTCTCTAAAGCACAGACTCACAACAAAAGAAGACATGAGTACTCAAAGAGAAAGGGAAGGAAGAGGAAAAAAAGGTTATCAAAGCATTTCCCACAGATGGGGCTCACAACCTGAGATTTTAATCTCAATAATAAAAATTAGCAGTGCAACACTAAACTGTAAATAGACTGCATTGCAAGTACAGTATACTAGTTTGCAGGGCGAACTTTTTATTTGTTCTAACTGTGTACAATCGTATGTGCTACAAGTTCCATAAGTATTCTTCTTTTAAACAAAGAGTAATAGTGACTGAGAAAAGCTACTCTGGGGGCTGTTCTCCACATATAGAAGTGCTTCATTTAGTCACTGTGAAACGACATTTCCCAGTAAGCATTCCAAGCCATACTTTGTTCTAGCAAAATAGAAAATGGATATCAACAACATTCTCAAAGCTACCGTTCTAATATAACAATGTTTCTGTATCATCTTTTTTTCAGTATACTATGTCCTCTAAAGAAATTACTAAAAGGGCTGACACCAAGTTCACTGGTTTACAACGATGATGATGTAAAGATCTCTGTGATAGTCACAATTATGAGCACTCTACAAAACACAGAGGCTGACTGTTAATACATTTCTCGGAAACAGCAGACAGCTCTACCATTTTTTTCCACTTAAACTCTGCAAGTCCCATTCTTATGGCAGGATATAGAATGTGAGGGCACGAGCTAAGATACTGAGTAATGAATCAGATCTATAATCACTATGCCATTACTGCAACACACTTGAGGATTAGAAGAATTTTAATGTGGTATAATATTGATATCAAACTTACACTAAACATAATGGTCAGAAGAAAAAAATTCAAAATTATAATTCTGTGAATCCAAAATACAAACAATGTCAAGACAGACTTAATTTTGACTTCTGTATAGTTTATGTTTTTGTGATTAGAACAATGACAAGTCTTTATTATTGTAAATGTGGAACAAGAATTAAGTCTTACCCCAGAGATAAGAAACACTTTACAGAAGTCCAAAACAGGTAAAATCTGCAAAAAGCTAGCAGCTTCCAGAGTGTCTTGAAGATTGTCCATGTTAAGGGAAAGTTTTGCGGTATAAATGAAATCAATGATCTTCTTTAGGCCTATTTTGTTCACACCATGAAGCTTAATGCACATTAAGTCCTGTTCCTTCATTCCTCCTGAGAAAGACGCATAGGTAAGTTTATATAATCATTTTGATTGGATTGAAATAATTTCATAAATTTGTACAAAACTAAAATACAATTTTAAAGTTTAATTCACATGTAACAGTAGGTAGACTCTTATAGCTCACAATCTTGGACTTATTCTCCCATAACTCTGAACATGTGTTTGCGTGGCCACATGACAATTTAGAGATAGCTATATGCATTACTAACAAAAAACACCACCTGTGAACATAGCCTTGAAGTAATCACTTGCAGAAGCCATCATTGCTCTGTGAACAGGAAACACTTCATCACCATCTCCTGGAACAAGCGTCACATCACAAAGCAAACCTTCCACTCGCAGTTGGTCAAAACCCTGCAGGGAAAGCATAATGCAAAGCATCCATTTGATTTGAGAGCAGTGTAGAAATCTGTTTCATCTTCCTCATCTACATACTTATTTACTTACATAAGTACCGTAGCTTGAAGAAGTCAAAAGGCATTAGTTGTCTCTTACAATCGTAACTAATATATTCAATGATAATTATCCATTGGAAAACTTAAGCAGAACAAATATTTTCTATAAATGAAAAAAGAATATGAAGTACCCTGTGCCTTAGAAAGTAGCTTTACTTGACAAATAAATGTATTATCAGGAAGGAGTTTGTTTTGAAAGCCTGAACTCCAGCAACTCTTTAGGCACTGCTGTTTGTTTTTTTTTTTTTTGTCCTACCCGTTCTGGACACAAATGCATTCTAAATACATTTCTGTTCCATGCTAGTCAATGACACCCAAATTAAGAATTTGCAAAATACTGGGGCATGAAAGGAAAAATGCCACCTGGTTCAATGGCTATCAAATTTATTGCCAAAGCCTATGCGGCAATATTATGAAATAAGCTGATCTTCTCTGAATTATTCATGATGTCTAACTTTAATTTTTAAAAAAAGGAAGCAATCTGAAGCCACACCTCAAAATAAGATTTTCCTCAAAATTTATTGACTGGGTACACTGGAAAATGCGTGGAATACTTGCTTCCTTTGTGCACTACAGAACAGAAGCTCAAACAAGACTTCCTTCAACCATGCATGTCATCTGACATTTTTTCAGTACTAACAGAAACATAAATATTGCCTTTATAGATTTAACATGTGCAAAAGTCATGGCATCAGCTCCCGTAATTTTAAATTTAACATATATAGCCTTTAAGATGTTTTGAAATTACAAAGGTATGTAAAAACATTAATATTTGTATGACAAAAAAGAACAGTGCAAACGAGGAAATGAGTTATTAGCTCCAATAGATACCAGAAGCTAAACACAGCATGTGATATTTATCGCCAACCTTTCATACCAGTGAAAGAGCATAACTCATGACAGAATTCCGCTGAACTGCCACAGATCTTAAGTAAATAGGCTGCAATTATTATACCAAACTTGCATGACAAAGAACTTCTACAAAACCTAAAGGGAAATGGAGAACATTTACAATTTAACTTGCTCCAAAATTTACAGACATGGGGGACGTATGCACAGATGTCCAAGCTTCAGAAACTAAACCAAAACAATCACTAGCTTCTCTGAATAAAACAAAACCAAAACAAACAAAAACTCACAACTCATTACTGTCCCAAAAGTTAGGCAATCTGTTTAAATTGGCAGCAAATTGAAAATTAAAAGAGTGTTCTCCAAGGAATTATGCCATACAGAAAAGTCTGCACTCCCGAGAAGACTGCACTGGAAAGTAGCAAGAATTATGTAAGCTGTAGGCTCAACTCTGTATGCTGTGTAAAAGTACCAGCAAAAATGAATAGATAAAGAGACTTTACATTTAAACTCTTAAAGCTTCAAAGTGGACAACGTTTTTATTCATTAGAAAGATATTCTACCAGATGAGATGGTCTCCTCAGTTCCTGGACAGATTGTGACTACACAGACTCAAAAGTAGACTGTCTAGGGAACCACGTTTTTTAAAATTGCAGCTTAAGATAATCATACACACATACAATCTTCTAACCAGAATGTTCCTTCATATAGAAGTTAGCCTGGTTTCAATAACATGCACACATTTCAGAAAAGCAGAACCATAGATCAACAGAACATCCAATGTTAGGAAAAAAGTTTCATAGAATTTGGTTAATACCATTTTGTATATATGAATATATTTTTGTTCGATTTCAGAGCAAAACCAATTACATGAAGCTGGTTTTCTTCCCTTTTGTAAGATCAATAGCACCTTCGCCACGTTTGTTTTTTAACTTTTTTTGTTAATATGGAACTTCTGAAGATGTTCTGAAGATTTAACTTGAAGAAAAAACAGTAAAACTGTTAGATTTATTGGCAGAAAGTATTATGTCCCTTGAGAGAAAAAGATATTCATTTGTGACTAATACAAATTAATAAATTCACAGGCTATCTGCCACATAACACCAAATCTCCAATATATACAAACTGCAAGAACATGAAATGCATTGATTTAATAGCAGTTAATATCTCGTTTGCCTAGCTCAATATCAGTCTGCTTAACAAGCCTGTTTGTGGCATATACCTATAAAGACTAAGAAAACAGAGTAGAATAAAATTCAGCAGAGAAAAGAAGTTTCCCAGCAGTAACTTGTGTGCAGGCTACTTTTCTGCTATGCAGAAGTTGCAGGTGCCAGCCTTCCCAAGAGCATTCCCAGGACACTGTTAGACACAGCACAAGGCATCACACCAAACCTGGCAGGGCTTTGTCATCTTAAGGTCATGAAAAAGGAAGAACTCTCCTCGTTGCATCTTTAAGGCTGCTTTCACACAGAAGATAGCACAAGTGTTTGTCTCACCATTATATGATTATAATCATATACCGATCATATTCAGCTGAGTTTCTTTGATACCACTGTTACCTGATAGTTTAAGCCGTATTACCTCTTAGAAGCAAAAGGACTCCCCTTCTTACCCCCCAAAAGCTATTGCTAAAATGTAAACCTTTAACTGTTAGGAAAAGAAGTTACAGGACATGCTTGCTTGTGGGCATTGCCAGCACAGCACACAAACATTTTTGAGACTCAGGAATGACAAGTATGGTAATTTTTTTATTTTATTTTTTTTTTTTTTAAGTACAGGCATTCTTTTCTGTATCCAAAATTCTCAGTACATATCAATATTGACACAACAGTATTCAATTACCTGTAATACCACAGAACTGTGAGTATTGCTGGTGAAAAATCTTGTGGTCCCTGTCTTCGAAGACTGTAGATGGGCAGACACGCCCATATCGCTGCTACCAAGAGACACTTTCATATGAGGATCCTCCTCTTCCACCAGAGATCTAAGAAGATGAGAACAAAGAAACTTTACAACCAAGCCCATTTCCATTAAGTGCTCTTGTATATTAAAACCACAGTCTTCTGGGGATGAAGAGTGACAGCATAGAGGCTACAGGTCAAGAAAACTAGTAGGGAACAGAATCAACTATTTTTGGTCCCATTCAACTAATCTAAGAAGGTAAAGTGTTACACTGTCTAAACCGTGCAAATTCAAAAACTTAATTTGCAGCTAATAAATCCAGACCCCTCCCCCCAGATTAAGACACCTGCACATTATTTTATCGCTACGTATGCTTCTAGTGTTTCAGAATACTTGGAGGAGTCTCGTCAAGTTCTCAAAATCAACTATTGCATTAGATCACCAAGGAACGCTAGAAGATTGAAACATTAAATGCAATTTTAAAGTTCAGTGATTTCATTGTTATGGCTTGCATTATCTTGCTCACACAGGATATAATAGCAAATATAACTAGTAGAGTCTCAAACAGTAACTTTAAGCTACTTTTAGAAATAAAATTAGAATAATTCTTTTAGGACATGATATCCAGAATTTTGCTACTGCCAGCAACTACTTCATAATTTTAAGATTTGTTAGTGTGAAGTCAGTACATGTGTTTTTGATTCCAAGCAATTACTGTCTAAATCCAGGTAGAAAGGGCTAATTTTAGGAATAACTGTTAAAGAATTATAGCACTATTATTATCCTACCACTTTAATCTTGAGATGTAAATTAGATTTACATAAAGAGATATGCATATGAGATTCTAACTACCCTAGCCTGCAATTATTATAAAATGTAAATAAATTTCATCTCCAGAAATATTACTAGTTCCTGTAATTTCTGTGATCTAATGTACTACCTATTAGCATGAATACTGGTATAATGCATATATCCACAAAATTAATTAGCAAACATAAGCCACTAATCCATAGATAATGATATTAGTTATTAATTTCAAAATATAACCATGGCAATTTGAAATAAATGCTGCAAATATCAGATACAGACTTTTCCAAATTTTAAACATGCAGGTAAAAACATCAGCCTCCAAGCCAGTTTCAGAAATTAATTTAAGTAACAAGAACACATACAAATTATTTTTTTCTTTTTTACTATTTTGACTGAGATCACTATAAGGATAACATGGGAATGCACAGTTGAAAAATAGGGTTTTTTTCTTCAAAAACTGCTTGATTTCTTTTTCAGAAAAGATTTTTTTCCCCTTCCTTCTTTTATTACATTACCTATATAGAGCAGTTTCTGAAACTTCTGAATTATTCTGATTGCACTGATGTGCTTTGTTCAAACACATGGTTACATAAGGTCAGCTATGAAAACATTCAAAACAAATTCACCAGTCAACAGTGCACATGGGTTTCAAACAGTGAGATTTTATGCACACAGACATAACAAATTGTAGGAACAAGGGTACATCTAAATAGCTTTAACTTCTAATGTAGCAATCCAACACTCAGACATCTGAGAAAATTAATCAATGTGGATATACTGCAGCATGCAAGAATTTAGTCATTTTTGAAACTGAACTCTCTCATAAAACAAATTGTGATTTTTATAATACAAGGTAGATTTCAACCCTATGTGCTTTTCAAATTCTTTGCTGTACAGTAAATGCATACAACAATGTAACGCCGCAGCAAGGCAGTTGCTATCTGATGACGACCTACAATATTTTTGTTCACTTTGTTCTATGCTTTTTTTCCTTTCTTTTTTAGTTTGAATACAATCACATCAAGGAAAGAGTCTAACAATTTCCAAGGACATCTTGTCTTTAAATTTTACATATCTTTCAAAGAGAATAAATATAAGATAATGTTGGGAGACTTATGAGTGTGGGTTGAAAGGAACTGCAGATTCAACTTCCAGAAAGACCTTCCAGAAGTGTCAGATTAGATAGCTATTACATGAAGGGGCTTTTTAAAGATTTCTTCTAAACTCAGAAGAAAACAGAAGATGTGCACATCAGTTAAGATCATTACGGAAAAAACATATGTAAAATATTTGTTTGCCTGTTTCGAACAGGCTTTTTCTTCTGACACAGGCTTCTTCCAACAACTAGCATACTTGATAAGGTTTGCAAACAAGGCAAAGACCTTGGCCATGATTCATTTATCCAACAAGGCAGTAACAATGGAAGCATTTTGCTGGATAGGCCACTACAGAGCATCAACATTTCTGTTGAAGTTACATGGCTCCCTTCCAGCAGGTTCAACAATCTAGAAGTAACACAGCACCGCTATCTGTGCGTGTACCTCCTCACCCAGAATGTGCCAACACTAGGCTGCTAATACAAGTTGTGGAGAAGTACTGGAAAAAAATGAAAAAATCAGCATGCACCTGAAGTTCTAGAAGGAAGACACTAGTAAATCCTAGAAGAGCATGCAGTGTGCAACTTCTACACACTGCTGAATAAAACGTGGCCTATTTGACAGTTCTGTAGTAGTGGATCTGGCACTAACATCTTGAAGTGTTTGCTAATTTTTAGTACAAGATTTATTTTACATGCGTCGGTGAAGGTAAATTACATACAATTTTCACACCTTTGTCCTAAGAGGACCTCTGTAGCATGTGAAGCCTTGTTCCTAATACACACCCAATAGAGAGGATACAATATATTTTAAAATAATTGCAATACTTAAAACTATATATTCCACATGACAGAGGTGTGGCTGTAAGCAGTTATTTCCCCTGCCTGATTTTCAGAACTTAACTGGTCTAATATCTATATCCTTCAATAAGCACAGCAGCTCACAACTCAATGCTATTCTGCATAAGAGATTTTCACAATTTCCCTTCTATAATTGCTGTTCTATAGGTACAAGAATTTGTGCATGCTAATTGGACACTAAAAAACCAAACTCCTACACTAAAAAAAAAAATCAAACAATATAAACGTTAGTTCTATTCTCAAATATTAACCTGGCTGCAATTGACTATGTGAATACATATAAGCATAAAGACAACCAGATTGTATTATTCTTACATTGGTTTTTATTATTCTTACATTGGTTTTTGCTCTATGCTAAATAATGATAAGGCCTACATCATGTTTGATCACCTACTGCTTGCATCAGCTGACAAAGCGTCCAACTGAAGAGAAAAACATGCTGTCATAAAGATTTACTGTTTTACTGAAATTAACTATCTACTCTAGCTGTATGCTGCTCAACATTTTTTTTTGATTTTGGCTTTTTTCCTCTGTGCAAGGTTACTAAAACTACAGAATAAATCCATGAATAATTGTTTCTTTTTAAAAATAAAAAAACTTCCTCTCAATCCTATCCAAATAAAAACAAGGGGTGTTGTTGTTTTCTTTTTGCTGTGTTTTTGTTTGTTTGTTTGTTGTAGTTGTTGTTTGGTTGTTCTCCCCCCCCCCCCCCTTTTTTTTAATGTTTAAGTACACACCAATTTTATCTACAGTTTCTCTAACAGTTTAGGAATGCCCAGCACTCCCCAGAAAGTGACATTTGGAAGCTTGCTTTGGTAAAAGTTACAATTTAAATCAGTGATTATTCTGGCAACAATGCACTTATCCCCTGAATCCTAGTCTTGTGACATTCACTGAGAGAAAGAGCACTCCCAGAGTGACCAGAAATTATGTGTTTGTTATTAGAATTGTACCAGTTTTAACATTTATCTTGACATAAGAACAGAAATCCAGCTTTGTAAGACCAAGTAAAAATGCAACAGCTCTTGAATACAATTTTGATACCAACGCACAAAGAAACAAAGACAAGTACTATATCATATCAGATTTATTTAAAGTTGCCTTGCAACAAAATTTCAAATTATTCAGAACACAACTTCTATTTTGTGGCCTGTAAAGTGGATCTTCAGAAATAACTCCACCATTCATACCCAGAACAAATGGATAACATGTTTTATATCTAACTGAATTCCCAATAAAAGCCTGGTAAGTACATCTGCCACATTTGGATGCTGTTACCAAAGGTATTCTTTATATTCATTAACATAGGTTTCCTATGCACTATAATTAATTAGATAATAATGAATGTAAATGTATTGATTGGTACTTTATTGTAAGTACAGTATATCATGATAAAGCATACTACCAAATGATAAAGCTAATTCACTTTTTAATTAATTCTATTGTTCTGATCAATAGAAGTCATTAAAGAAGAAGTGCAGCAGTAGTGTTTTTAATCAGGGTTAAAAAAAAGTTGGAGGAGACAGCTATGACTGCAACATATATTGATAATTCACAAGTGGCTCTAAACGCGGATATTAACACCACTTTCAAAGTATACAATTGCTCTGGATGGGCTTTTCCATTTTAAGTAATAAGACCAAGGCAACATTGCAATTTAAAATAGAATGAATATTAACATTGCAGTAGCAAAACAGAGGAGCTTCCTGACTTTCTGCAACCTCTCAAAAGTACTCTGCAGTTCAGGGAAAGCCACAGGAGGTTAATTAGTTGCTATCACAGAATAAGCTGTCATTCAGAAGTTTCTTTCTAACCTCATGCTTATTCTTTGAAGTACAGAATATTTTTTTCCCTAACTAGTGTAACCAAGTGTGCTTTCTCATGACTCAAAGTTAATCCCCCAAGTAATTCCAAGTGATACTTTTGTAGCAATGAAATATGCATAATAGTGTGCATTATATGGATATTGATTATATATCCTAATTGCATAGCTCCTGTCAGTACGAAGGAAGATAGCTTTGCTTTTTATCATATAAAAAAAGTAACAAGTTTTGTTTGTCTAAATAATTGCCCACTAGATTCTGTTTCATTTATTCTCTCTGAAGGTGTTATTTTTAATCTTGTTCATCTACTAAAACACATCTCAACACCCTCTTTGACAGTTTGTGCAATTAGCAATTATTTTAGAACTAGAAAGATGACTAAGACAAATGCTGGGCTATGAGAAGAGTACAGCAACAGTTCAAGAGTCTTACCAAACAAGAATCTGCACTGCCTTTTTTATAGTGCAGAGGAAAAGCATACTGCAGTATCGC